AACTGCTGAAAAAAGAAGCCGTTGTGGTTGTCGGGACTGTGTAGTTACGTTCGTGTCTTGAATATTTTGTTTCCCCTGAGTGATGGTAGGTTCTTTTGTGCTGAGCTCGTTATCCTTAGCTCCTGGCCCACGCATGACCTATGGGGTTTGATGTAGTGCTCTCCCTGTGGCCTCGGATGGTTCCCTTGTGGGCGCGCGTCATGGTGGGCGCCCGGCAGTTGTCATTGCCGTGCAGTGAGGAGGGTTTGCTAAGGTGTTTGCTTTGCTTAGCCCGCACTGGATAATTTAGTTCTGTTTGGGCGGGGCTGAAGCGGGAGGGTTCCCTTTCGGCGCGCACCTGCCCTCATCTCCCCCCTCGCCCCTCTTCCCGTCTCGGCCGCGGCATTCTGGCTCGGGCGCTTGGTTTTCATGCTGGCGCGCCCCGTGGCCCCGGCCCCCCGGGCGAGAGCGGCGCGGGGCGGGCTCGGCCCGCCCGCAGTCAGCGCCCCTGGGATGGGCACGGGGACTGCGGGGGGGAAGGGCAGGGAAGGCCCCGATCCTGAGCCCCGCTGGCACTGCGACGACTTCCCCGCGCGCGGGCTGGAGCGCGCGCGCGACGGAGGACACTGGGGGCGCGACCTCGGACGCGCTGGCCCCGCCCCGAGAGGGGCGGGGAACGGCGGGGAAGGAAAGGGGCGGATCGTGGGCCGCGCCGCCGCCCGTCCGCCATGCGCTGGCATCGACTGCGTGTGAGAGCGGTCTGGCGCCGGAGTGACCTTTGGCGCAGGCCCAAAAGGGGTCGGGCGATTTTTTCGCGGCGCGAGCATGGCCCCGCGTCGGCGGCCGCATCGCGCGATTGCGCTCGCATCTGAGCGCGTCAGGGTCGGGCCCGCCCCTGGCAATCGCCCTCGACGCACGCGCGTCGCACCCCGCAGCTTGCGCCGGTTACCCGAGGGGGGGCCGGTCAACCAGACGGCGCTTGCTCTGCCCCATCAACAGTCACGAATCCCATCCCAGATCCCAAAATGTCTGGCTCTTACATCATTGGATATCTTTGAATATCTCGGAATATCATTGAATCGGTTTGAATCAGGTTTTCCCATACCAATGGGGATCTTTATTATTGTATGCTATACAAAGATATTCAAACATGTTCCATGCTCTCGGATGGGGCCGGTTTTGGCCGCGGCGCCAGGCCGGGCCAGACGTCGTCGCGATGCAGCGCGGCAGTTGCAGGCCTCGTCGCGGCGGCCCCTGGGGCGTCTGCTTTCGCGGCGCCTTCGAAGTGCCATTCGGGGCGCTCGAATTCAACCGGCGGAATTCCGCGCTCGCCCGCCGCTGCAAAAAAATCATCGAGCGGCGCCCTGCCGATCGTTGATACGGCGCGGCAACGCCAGCTCCGCGATTGCGTTGGGCACCCGCGGGCGCGCCTGAAGCCGCGCGCCATGGCTCGCTTTGGCCTGGGGCCATTCAGGGGCGCCCCGCGCCCGCTAGGGGGGTGGCCTGGGGGGCGTCGCCAAGCTCGCCGGCCCATGCGCTAAAGGAGGCCCCCCCCCCAAGGCGACTCGGAAGCCCGGGGCCGCGGCTCTGGGGCGCCCGCGAGCGCTAGCCCCACGGCGCGGGGCTGCGTCTACCGGGACAGGAAAGGTGGCGCCCCGGCGCGGGGGGGTCCGATCCGGTGGAACCCCGGGCGCCGTGGTTCGTGGGGCTCACGAATCCTGCTCTGTGGCCCCAGCGAGGCCCCTCGGGTATCCAGACGGTCCACGGCGCCGCGCCCGCTCCTCCAGGCTCGGGGGCTCCCAGGCCCCAAGGCGCAACTTCGGGGGGGGGGGGCGGGGCGCGGCAACGCGTTGCTGGAGGACGTCGGGGGCCCGGGGGCCATGGTCAGGCGCGCGGGCCCCTCGGGGGCCCGGCAGATCTCGGGGGGCACCCTCAGGGATTGGAGGGCCTAGAGGAAGCAGGGGGTTCCCGCCGAGGCGCTCCTCGCCGGGGCGGCTCGCTTCCCGCCGCCTGGCGCAGCCCGCCAAATCCGCTGGGCTGCGGCAACGGCCCGGGAGGAAGGGGGGGGGCGACGGGCCCCCGCGCGCGGGGCCTTGAGCGGTCGGCGGGGGGGGGGCGACGAGCCCGCGGGGCCCCTCCCACGCGGCCGAGCGGAGGCGTGACCTGTGGCGGCCTGGTCTATGTCCAAGCCCCCGCAGGGTCAGGACGGGCTTCGCCCGCGCGGCCCGCGGCTGGAGCGCTTCGTGCTGGAGGAGGGGGGGGGGGCAGGAAGCCCCCCCCATCCGCGGCAGCGACCGGCGCCTGGCCCAGGCCGTCGGCCCAGGGGGCGCGGCTGGAACCCGGCCCCAGATCGGCGGAGGGCGACTGAGGGAGGAAAGGGAGGCGGCGCGGAGCAGCTATATACATCTTCGGAAACCTGCTCTTCCTGCGCGATCGCCGGGGGCAGCGGCCACTCTCAATGGGGGGCCGGGGCTTGAGCCCGCATCTGATCGGCCCGGGAAGGGGGGGGGGGGGGGCCGGGGCGAGGGCGCCTTCTTGGACTGGGCAGCCCACTTGGCCCACGCGCAGAACCGTTCGGAGGGGGCAATCCGGGGGGGGGCGATGTCGGCGCGGCGCCGCGCGGCCGCGGGCAATGCCCAGACCCGCTGGAGCGCGCCCCCCGGTCGCGGCTAGTGCTGGGGGGGCTGCGGGCGGGGGCCAGGCAAAACAGGAAGTGCGCCGCATAGCGGCGGAGATGATGAGCTGGCTGAAGAAGAAGCACAGCGATGGGAGGCTTGGGGGCGCTGCGAAGTGGGCCGCTATCTCGGCCGCCTGCATCTTCGCGCTTCGGGCCTCGGAGTCGCGGCCGACGCCTCGGGGGGGCACCCCCGGGCAGCGAGCCGATGCCTTGCTCGGGCGGAGCGCTGCCCCAGGGAAGGAGGGGGCAGTCTGCGCCTCTTTAAAGGGTCCGCGGGCGAGGTGGTGATCTACATCCAGGGGCAAGACCGACCGTGAAACCGGGTATTGCCGGCGCCGCTGCGCCGCCGGGAACGCCCCATGCGCGCCGAGGCGTGGGCCGAGCTGGAGCGGCTGCCCCCTTGGCGCTTGGCGTCGGAAGGGGGGGGGCCCGTGCTCCGAGGCGAGGCAGGGGCGTTGCTGGACCGAGCCTCAGAGGCGGTAGGGGCCCAAAGTCGCGCCCTGAGGATCGGATGGGGCCGCCGCCGCGTGCCATGCACCGCGCGGCCCCGGACCCGTAGAGATTGAAGAGGTTCGGGCGGTGGAAGTCCAGCGCCTTCCACGCCCGCCCGCGGGAAGCGCGCGAACCCTGGAAGGGCCTGGCAGAGGCCATGTCGGCCCAGAAATACCAGCTCACCCCGGGGAGCGCCAAACGACGGGAAGTGGACGGGACCGAGCGGGAGGAGCTAGCCAAGGGGAGCGAGGCTCACCCATGACCCCCCAGAGATGCACCCCCCGCCAGTAGACCAAGGAGCCCCGCTTGGGAGGAGTTGGGGCGGAAGGCAGAGGGATGGGTGACGTTTGGCCCCCCCCCCCCAGAGCGCGGTGCACACGCGCCGCCCTCCGGTCTTCCGCCGTTCGGCCAGCGGTTGCGTCCGCGTTCGTATCTAGCGCGCGCTTCGGGGGGCTGCCCTGGCCCCCCGCATTCCACCCTGCGCCCAGGGACGGGTGGCCTTGTAGCTCGCCCCGCACCCCCCGATGCGGCGGGCGCGCACCGCGCGCTTGAGGGGCCGGCCGACGTAGTTGGTCTTTGCAGTTTTTTGACAGGAAGGGGAGGTGTGGTTGGTGTGGCTTGGGTCGGGTGGGCGGTGCGCCTACGGCTGAACCCCGGCTGTTCGCCACGCTCAAAGAGGCCATTCCTCTCCCCTCGCATCGCGCACGGAGTCCAGAAGGGAATGTAATTCTGCTTGAGCGGTGCTGAACTGGGAGGGTTCCCTGTCGGTGTTCGTTTGCCTTCTTCTCCCCCCTGTTTTTTTCCTCCCCGCTCGGCCGCAGCCTTTTGGTTCGGGCGCATGCTGGCTCCCCCCCGCCCAGCTTTGTTTCGCCCGCCGTACTGCGGGCGGGCGGCACGCTTGCGACTCCTCGCGTGGCGCGCGGGGTCCAGTAGGAAATGACGTAGTTGTTTCTCAGACGCATGAGCAGTATATGCGCCAATTGCATTGTCGGCCGGCATGTCATATTTTGGTTGTCCCGGGAGCGGGTGCTCTGTCGGAACGACACGTCGTGGCAGGCATGCTGCCCAGTGGTCGAGTAACCGACTGCCCGATGGCCAGCTGCGAAGACGGTCCGTGTCTCTTCCTCTGCGCGTGGAGTTGGCGAATGGGCGGGGGAGGGAGCGGCGCAGAACGGTTGACAGACGCGCCTCTGACTTGGAAGGGCGAGGGGGGAGAGGGGGGGGGAGAGTCCCGTCGCAAGTCTTTGGGGGGAGGGAGGGGGGCAGTGTAATGGTTCCCCCCCCCCCACTTTAGTGCGTCACCCGATAGTAGTCCTTTGTAAGTAAATCTCTGTAGTACGTAACTCTGCGCAGGAGATTCGCCATATATTCTCAATGTATATTATTATAAGCGTTTTGTTTTGTAGTTTTTGGAACCGTACAAGGTCGTGGTTTATGGACATTGTGTGTTTTTTGGCCCTTGTCGACTGCTCGAAGGGAAACCTGGTGGCCAGCGAGGCGAAGCTGTCTTGCTGCTTGATGTCGCTTTTGGAGGGCCTTGATCTCGTCTCTCTACGCCGCCGTCGTGTGACCGCCGCCTCCACCTCCAGGAGCAGGGGGACGAGGAGGAGGAGGAGGAGGAGGAGGAGGAGGAGGAGGAGGAAAAGGAGGAAAAAGAGGAGGAGGAGGAGGAGGATGAGGAGGGAATGAGGAGGAGGAGAGGGAGGAGGAGGAGGAGGAGGAGGAGGAGGAGGAGGAGGAAGAGGAGGAGGAGGAGGAGGAGGACGAGGACGAGGACGAGGAGGAGGAGGAGGAGGAGGAGGACGGGGACGGGGAGGAGGACGAGGAAAAAAAGGAGGCCTGCCCCGTTGAGGTTCGCGATCAGCAGCAGCGGGCGTTCCGGCAGCGCGAGGACCTCTGCACCGAATGTGGGCGTCGACGCGCACGCCCGCCGGGCGGTTGTGTGATGCGCATTGGCGTCGCCTTGGTATCTTTTCATTCAGGCCGCCCGAATCCAGAGGCGAGCAACATGGGGGTGAAGCGAGTGGAGCAGCCCTATCTCTTTCAAGGCAGGGGGTTCGAAGGGGTTTCTCGTCGCTGCCTCCAGGCCCTTTCAAGAAGTTTCCTGCCTTCGCAGAAGCCTGCCACATCCGCCTAACTCCCTTGTGCGCTCTGCCCAAACTGGTGTCGGAGGATCACGCCGCATCGCCGGTGCATCGGCAACGTGGCGCGATCCAGAGCCTGACTTGCTCGGTCCCCATCAAAGCGACGCAACAAAAACTGGGTCGTCTTCACTGACATTGGCGCGTAAGCTACCCGCGTGAGCTCGCGCGTCAGCGCATTCGTGTCCAATGTTGCGTGCCGCGCTGGCGTCCCGCGAAAGCCACCGCGTAACGTCGATATGTCATCTCCCGTGAGACCCTTTTTTTCTCGCCGCTGTCCACATTTGCACCTTTTCAGCCTCATCTTCGCCTGCATCTTTTCCTTTGCTGTCATCTCCCCTTCTTCTGCATACAGTTTGTCTCACGCCGTGGCGCCGCAAGGGTGTGGAGTTCTGCGGGAGAAGTCCCCTGGTTGATCTCGGCGGCCAGCCCGGAAGGGAACTGAGAGGGGTCGAGCCTTCTCAGAGGGCTTGGAAGTCCTCCGGCCTTCTGAGAAAATTCCTAGGTTTTTCCCGAAGGCACAGAAAACCTTTCGGAAGACGCGAGGGTTTCTGAGAGGCCCGACGCCTTCTGAGAAGGCCTTCTCCTTCTCACTCCCCCCCTCGCTCGCCGCCGAGATTCGAGCTTGTGGGAGCAACGAAGTCTACCTTCTCTCCCCAGCAGCGATGCAGTTTGAGTGGTACGTGGTCAGTTGTGGTCGCGGCGACGGCAAGAGCGGCGCCGCAGGTCATGGCAATGACCGGGGCAAGAACGGGGGTCGTTGGGACTGGCCCGCAGGCGGTGCTTCGAGCAGCTGGGCCGCTCAGGCATGGTGCCAGTCCTGCTCGTGGGTGCGGCTCAGGTCAGCTGGCGGTGCCCGCCAAGACGCAACACCATTAGCGCGTACCGCCAGCCGTGGCGCACATACATTTTCTTCGCCGCGCTGGAAACCAATCTCGACATCGATGACAGTGTCATTCAGCGTTGAATCTAGACGCTTCGCGTAAGCTCACCAGCACATCCAGAAACGATGACCAGGCGAGTTCCCGAGTTGCCCTGATCAGGGATATGTAGAAGCATGCAGTGGAACAGCGGGCTGGCGAAGCCGTTGTACCCCAAGAGTAGGAGGATAGAAGAGGAATCGTCTTCGTCGAAGGAGGGGGAGGGGATGGGAATGCTGAAACATGAGGAGGTCCGAGGAGGAACAGGCGGCGGAGGAGAAGGAGGAGGAGGAGGAGGAGGGCGAGCACAATGACCAGAGGCCTCTTGGATGCCTCTCGGGGTCGCTTCGTCTTGGAGTCCTTTGGGGCGTCTTGGGGGCCTCTTGGCGAACCTAGGGGCCTCTTGAAGCGTCCTGAGTGCCTCGGGGGCGCGCATCTTTTAGCCTCTTGGGATCTCTTCGGGGCCTCTTGGGACCTCTTGGGGGCCTCTGGGGGCCTCCTGGGCGCCTCTTGAGGTGTTCTTGGGAGCCTTTGGGGCCATCTTGGGGCCGTCTTGGAAGAGATCGATCAAAGCAGGTGGGGTACTCAATTAGGGTCCACCCCAGGAGGCAAATTATTTTGTCAACACCTAAGTGCAATCAATTTGTTGCCTTCTCGCTGAGGCTCGTTTGGACGCTCTAACGACCTGCTACCCCGCCCGTCCAGACCCAGGGGGAGGGGGGAGGGGGATGGAGCAAGTCCCCAGCGGGAGCGCCTCAAGCCGTCCCGTTCACTCCCACCTACCCTCCCAACACATAGGCAGCACGCGAGCGGAGGGCCCTAATCCCAATGAGTTCATGTGGTGCGATCTCCCTCAAGCGAAGTGTCAAGCACTCTGTGAGAAGAGTGGCTCACCCAGGAGCGCAAGGCAACAGCACCTATTGACAGAGAGCGTGCTTTCCGATGAACCCGTAGCCACCCTGGCTCAAGCCACCCTGACTCAAGCTCCGTTTCGAGTGCACGCCCCTGCCGCGGCGTCATGGAAACCGTGGCGGCGCGGCGGCGGCGGCGGCGGCGGCAGCGGGCATCCGCCCCCGCCCGCGCTGCCAACGCCGCGGGCAGGACGCGTGCTGCGGGCACCGCGGGCGCCGTGGGCGTCGCGGGTGCCGGTGTCGCTGCTGGCGCCGCGGGCGCCGTGGGCGGGCGCTGCGAGCGCCGCGGGATCAGCGGGCACGGGCTGCGGGCGCCGCGTGCGCCCCGGCGCCGCCGCCGCCGCCGCCGCCGCCGCCGCCGCCGCCGCCGCCGAGGCGCCGCGGACGCCGAGGGTGCCGCTGGTGTTGCTGGCGCCGCGTGCGCTGCCGGCGCTGAAGGCGCTGCTGGCGCCGCGTGCGCCGCGGTCGCTGCTGCCGCTGATGGCGTTGCCAGCGCCGTGGGCGCCGCGGGCCCCTCGCGCGCTGCCGGCGCTGCCGGCGCTGGGGGCGCCGCGAGCGCCGCGGGCGCCGCGGGCGCGGTCGTCGCCGTTTCAGCCGCTGCGGACGCCGCTGTGGCGGCGGCCGCCGCCAGGTTCATGGGTCTCCGACGGCCCCTTTTTCCCATGGTGCGGCAGCCTCGGCCCATGCGGCGGGCCGGCCGTTTCCGCTCCCGGGCCTGGAGCGCAGCGCGACCAGCTTCAGTGTGGAGATCAGCGTGTACGGAGGTGGCATGGCGCAGCCCAGCGCCATCTGCTACAATACTGTGATCATCGAGCGCGACAGTGGAGAGTAGTGACAGCGGGCCATGCCGCGCCTCAGCGGAATCCTTGCGCCAGCACCCTGGCCTTCGCCAGCACAGCCGAGAACACCGACGCCAGCATCCTCGCCCTCAATGAATCCCTGTGCAACTATCATGAGAGTTTTACGACCCAGGACACCAAGTGTCACCAAGGAGATATAGATCATCTTTCTCTGCAGTTACCACTTCACATATTTGGCGAATCGCTCGTTCCTGACAATTCGTATGCTGTTGGATGTATCCCGACTGTTACTCGTAAATTGATGCAGCCGCTTCTTGAGATTATTCACAACGTATTACTGGTAGGTCTCGCTTTCTGCACCTTTCTTGTAGCCCTTTGGGAATCCTCAACATTGTGAAAGTTTACATGCCCAACACTTCCGACCCGTTCCCCACGTTCCTGAATGTGCTTCGCACGATCTGCCGCGCAGTCCCGATGGATGCGCGCAGATGTTTGTTTTTTCTTGGGCGTCTGGAACTGAACCTGGGAGGGGAAATCTGCAACGGGCTCAAGGTGGCCTCTGGGGTCATGGGGGCCGTCGTCATGCTCAGGGTTCCTACATCCTGTGCCCCGACATGATTGAATTCTCCCATGAGTTTGACTCGAGACGCGCTGCTGTGAATGGCGTGCTAGACCACGCTGCCCGTCTGGATAGGATCTCTCGCTCGGCCCCCAGCGCCCTTCTGGCTGATGCGACGAGTCAGTCCTCCACGGCTGGCCAGTTGAAAGCGAACAACCCCTCCGATCATATTCCTGTTTCGGCTTCTTCGAAGATGTTTACCTCGCCCGCTCACGAAAGCAAGCATATCCCGCCGCGGCTTGCCTACTCTCCAAGGAGTTCTCCGAGGAGCTGGGCGAGCTCTTCGCGACCCCCCCCCCCAGCTGACGAGGCGGCTGGTTCGCGCCTGAGCTGGGCCAGGGCCTGCGCGCCTTTTTGACGCGCGGACAGAGGGCGAAACGGCGCGGCCGCTGGCGCCCCAGCAAGGCGCCAGGTCAGTTGGGCACTTCAGGCAGCTTCGCGATGCATTCCGCTGCTTCCCGCGCCACGAGACGCGCCCGGCGCGGGCTGGCTAGGGCGCGCGAGGGGCGTCGTCGCCGGGCGATGCTTGCGCACGCGGGCTTCGCTTTCAGAACATCAGTCATTGGTGGATCTTTCTCGCGCCATGGGCGTCTTGAGGGCTGCGTTGGCGATGCTTCTCCTGAATGATTTGACCCGGGGGGTCGGCGCCGTCGCGCCCGTGAATTTGACGTTCAGGCCCGGGGCGCCGAGGCGCTCGAGCTCGAGGGGGATGGCGCGGAAACCTCCCGTAAAAAGAAGCGCCGCGCACGCCGGGCGCAGCAGGGCGACGCGAGCGCAAATTCCAGCGACGCCGCGTCTTCTGACAGCAGCTCCATCGTCGCGCGCGGCTTCGAGGGGCGGCGGGCAAAAACTGCCCTTCCCCCCCCCCCCAGAAGCGTCTGCTGAAGCCTCTCGGCTTCGCTGGGGCGACGTCTTCTGCGCGCGGGCAGAAGACCGCGCCCATTGGCCTGAATTGCTGTCTTTCCCTCTCCAGGTTCCTGTGGGAGCCGATGTTTCTTGGGGCATTGGGTGCGTGACATTTTGCCCTGAGCTTATGCGCATCATTGTAAAGATAGGATGCCTGTGCCAGATTGGCGCCTCGGAGATGCCCGTGGAGTTCCTTAACGCTTACAGTGAGCTGGTCCTCCTAGGAGGAATTGAGTCGTTCCCAGAAGATGCGTCGCTGGCACCCATGACGCCCCCCCCCAAAAAAAAAACGCAAAGAAGGAATAAGAAGAATAATGAGGAGAGAGAGAGAGAGAGAGAGAGAGAGAGAGAGAGAGAGAGAGAGAGAGAGAGAGAGAGAGAGAGAGAGAGAGAGAGAGAGGAGAGAGAGAGAGAGAGAGAGAGAGAGAGAGAGAGAGAGAATAAGATAATAATAGAGAAAAACAAAACTGCCCGTAAAAAAAAACGACGCGGGCGCCCAAGTCTCCGAGAAGATGATGCCGCGCCGGGGGCGGGGCGTGCATTTCCGGTCGCAGCGTGGCGGCCCTCATTGTTCGAGCTGAAGTTTGGGCGTTAGAATGCCCGGGAAAATCATG